GTGTAAGGTCTGCACAGTTGCATGATGAGGTGTCAAGACATGGTTAAGGTTATTTTCTCTTGCAGCAGAGGAGGTAAGGCTATGGTCGGACCTAGGGAAATGTAGGAGAAAAAACACGGGAAATGTATCTTTTTTATACATTGGTAAATAAGAATGAAAATCAAATTTGATTAGAACTTCTCAAAATGTTATTTAGATTTAATTTTTTTATTCATATGGTATTAACATATTAACATATGAATACATTTGATTAACACTTCGAATCCTTTTTTTAGAAGGTACAAATATACCTTGACTTACATGTTAAAGAATCAAATATACCCTTCATACTTTTCAACTTTTATTTGGAACATTTAAACACAAAATTATGAATATATATGTTCTTTGATATATAATTAAGGGGTATATATGCTCTCAGGAAATTTCCCAAAATGGGAGTAAAAACAATGTGAAATGTCAAAATATGAGTACTATATTTTTAAGAAGTAAATTACTGCTCTCCTGAAACCATACTGTCATATGTTGGTATTATCAAAACATTAGCATGGCAGTATTAATGCCATAAATGGTAGTACTCATATTTAAGGAAATACATAGTACTCATGTTTTGGAATTTCACGTTATTTATACTCCTATTTAGGGCATTTTTTTTATGTTCTGTCATATATAGTTTAGTTTAAAGGTATACTTGTTTCAACTTTATTATGTCGTATATTTCAAAAATAAGATAAAAGACATATTTGTTCTCTTACATTCCTTCTACCCTTTTCCCTATATTTTTTATTTTTTCCTTCACAATATCTTTTATTTTTCCTTTTGATTTTCTTTCCCTAGCATTCTCCAGGCTCTAAACTTCAGCATTTCTTTTTTCTTTTTCAATCATGGAAATTGAAACCAACTCATACATTGCCTGTGCCCCCTAGTGACAGTTGCTTAACTTGCAGGCCTAGAAGCGCATCAAAGTGTTGATCTCGAGGTGGAAAAATATGTAGTAAGAACACATACACTACAAGAATCTCTGCATCTTGTAAAATATAGATGACATCTAAGTAGAGAGAAAAAAGCAGTATGATATTTTTAAAGGCTGTTCTAGCATTGTCTTTGCTGTGACCATTCAAGATGATATAATAGCTACAATTGTTTAATTTATCATCATTTCTCTGTATTCCGTACCCTGGGTATGAGAAATTGAGAATAGCCACCCGCTCCCCACTGGCTCCAGAATCAAGAAGAAGAGAAGGAAAGGGAGACATTAGGATTTAGGAGCAGGGTTAAGTGATCATTGAGTTGTATGTTGTAACCACTTCTCTAGTTTTGTATGAATGTAGATTAGATATATGTTTGTACAAGATTGTACAAAGTAATTAATATTTCATCTTGCACGGAGAAACACTTCAGTGTGCTTTTGCTTATTGATTTGTCAGAAATGTAATGAACCAGTCGGTGAAAGTTTTTAAAGCAGTTATTATTTGAGTAAATTGGGTATATATACAAGTTTAAATACGTACGTTTAAGTTAATGATATGTATTATCCAAAATAAAATGAATAGCCTCTTCTTAACTACTATTAAGTTAGAATATATGTTTTGTTTCGGCATCACTGTGTCTCTATCCATTATTCATTGGTCTTTCATATGCAAATTCCATATAAAAGTGTTATATGTTTTATAAAATATAAATGAGTTCTATTAACTTTATGCACGCTAATTTAAAAGGCTATATATCCATTTCTCCCTTATTATTTTGAGATTATTGAAATAGTAATCATTTTTTATTAACGTTGGATGATTGCGACTTTGCCTGATTAATCTTGAGCAAGAAACCACTCCTAAGTCCTAACCTTTGAGAGAGAAAATCGTTAGTCACTCGAACAATCCTTTATTCTTAGGATGTTCTTACATGTCTGTTTTCGATTCTAGATCAGATCAGATTAGGTTTGGATAGTTATAAAATGCACATAGATTAGACATTTACTAGACCAGATAAATTCAGACCAGGCAAGACTAGACCAGATCAGACCAACAAATTTGAGTTCAAGTAAAAACATCTTTAATGTTGTTTGTAGAGATCATTCCTAACTGATTATGTGCATTCAATTGCCCCAACACAACTTCTTGGAGAATTGCAATGATTAATGCAACATTAGATACTTAATAAAAAAAATCAATTTTCACACTCCCGTTTGGGATGAGACAAAACACTAATTAAGGGACCGCTCTAGTATACATCGTGAGGCTAGAGCATCAAAATCTGAGAAAACCTCTCAAAATTTTCTGATGACTTGAACTCAAAGTCCCCCAGAAGAAAGGAATGCAAGTGTGAGTTGTGATATAAAGTACTCTTCAATGTAATAGCTATTGTTGCTTTGTCGTATTATCAATTAGAATAATAATTAGGAAAAATTGAAAATAATAATCCCAACTATTGCCGGTTCGTTAACAATAATCCCAACTATTGATTATTTATGTATAATCCCAACTATATGAACCATCCGCCAATAACGGTCCATGACCAAATATTACCATCTATAAAAGTGAGTTTTAAATAGAAATTAAACGTAAAAATTAAAAGTTGAGATTATTTATAGAGATTACTTGCTATATCTCTTCTCATCCACTTCAGAAAGTACATGAATTTATTTATAGGGACTGTTATTGGCGGAAGGACCCTAAAGTTGGGATTATTCTGAAATAATCGATAGTTGGGATTATTATAAGCGGACCGCCAATAATTGGGATTATTACAATCAATTTTTCCTAATAATTATCAATATTACAAATATAATGGTGTTACTTATTCCATGTTTGTCATTACAATTGCTTACATTGTTACTCCAGGACTATTGTTGTTGTCGCCATGTTATTGCACGCATGGACCCGGGCCGGTTCGGGCCTGGGCCCGGCCGGGCCTCGGTTCAGGAAAGGGGAGGCCCGGAACCGGCCCAGGTAACCCCGGGTCCGGCTGTGCCGGGCCTCGGTTCAATTTTTTTTTTTGCCTTTTCCTAATTAACCCCTAACCACCCCCCTCACCCCCAAACCATCCCAAACCATCTCAAATGGCCCAAAATACCCAGCCCAACCCAAAAACATAAAAAAAATTCAAAAAAAAATAAATTAAAATAAAATGTCCCGGACCAGTCCCGGACCGGACGGGCCGGTTCACGTTTTGAGGGGCCCGAGTCTGGACCGGAACCCCAGCGGGTCGGGCCTACCCGAACCGGTCACTGACCGGGCCACCGGGCTGGGCTGGAACAGTGCCGGTTCGGGCCGGTTCCGGGTCGGGCCACCCGACCCGAGTCCAACCCTGGGTTATTGTTGTTGTTATTATTGTTATTCTTATTTTATGAAGAACGATCACGGGCAGTTTCGATAACCATTGAGGATTTTCATCGATTCCTTTTCTTTCCAAAGAATGAATTAACACGTTTAAAAAAATTCGCTCCATATAGGAATAAAATACAAAGTGCATGAAGAGGAGTAAGGATGTTTTCTTTTGAACTGTTTTCAGTTACAGATCAGACTAGATCAAACCAGACCAGATTAGACTTTTGTTGTTATAAAATACACACCAAACCAGACCAGCAAATTTCAGTCCAAAAGAAAACATCCTAACTATAATTTATTCCTAAGCTATGACTTATTTGATTTTACGAAAAGCTTTAAACTTCCCCAATTACGAGAAAATGATTCATGTTTCAGGAAGAAAACAATTGATGCTCGATTTGTGCACTTTATTTATGTTTTACTCCTATTTAAGAAATTTTCAGATGCACTCGTGGCTCAAGACTCTAGTAACATCTGCCCACATTAGTTTAGGTTAGTATTCAGATTGATTTAATTTGGGCGGAGTGCAGCAAACTTATACTCCCTTCGTCCCATTTAACTTTGTCAATTTTTTTTGTTTAAGAAACTTTAAGTTGTCACATTCCGTTCAGATTAGGGAAAATAAAGTATTTAATTTCCCTTTAAAGTAAATAATTTGTGGTTTTGCATGCTTTTCTCTCTTCTACACTGCACAATTCAAAATCACACAATTTTTATTTTTCTTATTTTACGCCTACACAAACTCGATAATGTCTAATGGAAGGGAGATAATATTAAATACTCTGTATAAAGTTGAAGGCATATATGAGTATTACCCCTCACTTTGAGATCTATTCCTATTACGTACAAAAAAATTGGCGGTTGATGATGATGTTGTGCGTTGCTATTATTATTGAGAAAATTGTTTGGCGTACACGGTTTAGGTGTACACCTTTGACATACTTGTTTGTCTACGCAGACAGAATTGTCTGTATACAGAATTACAGACAATTTTGTAAACTTTATGTAAATTTGAGTTTTAACTAGTCAAACAAATAAATACGTATACTAGCTAATTAGGTTATGGCGGGGCGGGTCAGGGGCCAACATTCAGTGATTCATGTAGGTCACGGGGCGGGCTTAATTTGTAAAGTCACAATGTTCTTTACCAAAATATATTGGAAAAAGATATTTGCACCCTCCTTTATACCCACCTTTATATTAACCATGTTCGTGTAAGATTTTTTTGTCTACGAATCATGTTCACAAGCAAAGTATGTTTTATTTTGTTTGTGCAAATTTTGCACAGACAATATTTTGTCTGTGAACCGGATTTATGGGAAAAAAATTTCATAAACATGGTGGATATAAAGTGTGTATAAATGTGGATATAACAAGATTGATTTAGATGTATTAGGGTCGCTTTTCATTTTTCTGAAGGAGTTTGCTTGGGGTACACAAAATGTGTACACATGTCTGTCGTTCGAAGAAAATTTGTCTGTCACAGGCAACTCATAATCAATTGTCTGTGACAGACAAATTTTCTTCGAAGGACAGATATGTGTACACATTTTGTGTACCAAAAACATTTTCTTTTTCTGAAAGGTATGTGAAATGGGACAAAACTGAATATAAACGTGACCAAGGGACTATGCCGCAATTTTAGTTAAAAACAAAGAGGAGGGCGGATTCTCCAATGTTTCCCCGCCCTGAATCCGTAGACAAGTAGACAACACCTTCTGATGTTTCCCAACAACTCAAGCATCTATAACTGTCAAATTGACAGATCCGATGCCGCTGGCGAGAGAGCAAAGCTGCGCATTTTGCTGCTCCGGTTACTGATCCGACGCGTGGCATTTCGATCCAATACCCCGGCGGCTTTCACGCTTCCAGTCTCATTAGAATTGACTGTGATTGGCGGAAGTTGCCGATGCTTACAATTACATCCTGCGCTTAGCAGGTATTGTTCCTTTCTCGATTTTCCGTTCATTTTCCGGCCATGGATTTCGCTCTGCCTCTCGATCGCATTCAGAGTGGCTACCTGTATGATCGTTCACAGGCGGGTTCTAAGAAGTTCCAAATTTCTACGTGTTTCGTTTTGAACGGAGGTATGAAGCACCGGAGCACACTTTCCCGGGTCAAATGCTCGCTTTTGCAGTCCGGGTTGGTTAAACCCCGTCCCATGCCCAAACCCTCCGAAGAGAAGGAGAGTGAGAAGAAGAAGATGATGAAGAAGGATGCTTTGAGTGAAGAAATTCGCGTGGAGGGCACAACTCCAAAGGTGGGTATGATCTCTAGCATCTGTGCGGAGATTGAGAAGCTGGTTCTGCACAAAAGGTACCGTGAGGCACTCGAATTCTTTAATATTTTAGATCGTCAAGGTGATTATGATATTGGTAAAGATACCTTTGATGCATTGATCAACGCTTGTATTCAGTTGAAATCTATGAGAGGTGTTAAGCGGCTATACAACTACATTGTCGATTCAGGCTTTGAACCCGACCTGTATATGAGGAACAGGGTGTTGCTGATGCATGCTAAATGCGGGATGGTGCATGAAGCGCGGTACCTATTCGATGAAATGCCCATGAAAAACGATGTCTCGTGGTGCACAATGATTGAAGGGCTAGTAGCCTCAGGTGATTACATTGGTGCTTTCCAGCTATTCATGAGCAAGCTGGACTACTCGGATGCCGGGCCGAGGATGCTTACCCCGATGATCCGAGCAGCCTCAGGTTTGGAGCTTATTTCTCCAGGCCAACAATTGCATGCTTGTGCTTTGAAGTGTGGTCTTCGTGACGATGTATATATATCCTGTTCCTTAATGGACATGTACAGCAAGTGTGGAAGCATTGAAGACGCTCAGTTTATCTTTGATATAATGCCAGTGAAGACAGTAGTTGCATGGAACACCATCATTGCCGGTTATGCCCTTCATGGATATAGTGAAGAAGCTTTAGGTCTTTACTATGAAATGCAAGAAGCTGGGGTTCAGATGAACAATATTACATTCTCAATCATTGTAAAAGTGTGCACAAGGTTAGCTTCAGTAGAGCATGCCAAACAAGCCCACGCTGGGCTAATCCGTCAGGGCTTTGTTTTAGACATAGTTGCCAATACAACTCTTGTTGATTTCTACTGCAAATGGGGAAGGATAGAAGATGCACATAACGTGTTCAACAGAATGCCTAAAAAGAACGTCATATCCTGGAATGCCTTAATAGCTGGATATGGTAGCCACGGGAGGGGGGTGGAGGCAGTTCAATTATTTGAAAAAATGGTTCGTGAAGGAATGTCTCCCAACCATGTCACCTTTCTAGCCGTTCTATCTTCTTGTAGCTATTCAGGCCTGACAGACAGTGGATGGGAGATATTCAACTCTATGCATAGAGACTATAAAGTGAGGCCTAAGGCAATGCACTATGTATGCATGATTGAACTATTGGGGCGAGAAGGTCATTTGGATGAAGCGCTCTCGTTGATAAGAGATGCTCCTTTTAGGCCCACTTTGAACATGTGGGCTGCCTTATTGACCGCGTGTAGGATCCACAAGAATTTTGTTCTTGGCAAATTAGCAGCTGAGCAACTTTACGGAATGGAACCTAAGAAGCTTAGCAATTATGTAGTCCTTCTCAACATTTACAATAGTTTGGGGAAACGTGAAGAAGCTGCAGATGTTGTGCGGACACTTAAAGGAAAAGGTTTGACTCTTATGCCTGCTTGCACTTGGATAGAGATCAAGAAGAAGCAAGAGGTTTTTATTTCTTCAGACAAGTATCATGTCCAGATGAAGGAGATATATGAGAATCTTGACAATCTTATGCTCGAGATCTTGAAACATGGATATGCTCCCAAGGGAAAGACTCTGCTTCCTGATGTGGATGAACATGAGCAGAAGTCACTTTTCTATCACAGCGAAAAGTTGGCTCTTTCCTTTGGGCTTATAAACACTCCAAGTGGTACCCCATTGCAACTTGTACAGAACCATAGAATATGCAACGATTGTCACAATGTGATTAAATTGATAGCCATGGTTACGGAAAGACAAATCGTTTTTAGAGATGGAAGCAGATTTCATCGGTTCGAAAATGGGAAATGCTCATGTCGTGATTACTGGTGAATTTTCTCAGCTTCAATAAGTAAAGGAATCTTATCCTATCTATCTAATTATTAATGACCATAAATCCTGGTTAGAGAATACATCTTTATACTTTTTTATACCTTGCGAGAAGAATTTTCTAGTTAATAACTGTGTTTTAGTGGTATACTGGTATGTAGAATCAGGGATTATCATTTGAGATTTTGAGTGTACTGGAACCTCATGATTTTTTATTCTTTTAAAAAGGGAGTGAATATTAGTAAACTTTCTATTTTCGTGATTACATTGACTTGTTCTGTTAAAATAGGGCGTCTACAACAAATGTTGGGTTGGTACATATATGCACTCAAGTTGAGGAATCAAATGATATTTATTGGGATCTGATTCCATCCACTATAGTTTAGACAGTTTTTATAAAAGTTACCACATCGCTGAAATTTTAAATCCAAAAAACAATGATGATGTTGTAAATTTGTAATACATAACTTATATGGTACACCTGATTGTACATCTGTTAAATTCTACTGAGATAAGTTTTTAAGAAGCTTTTATGTAAAGACTAAGGATGAAAGGCTTTGGGGGTGTATCCCTTGCTAGTCTTGGGGGTATTAGTGGACACAAGACATGGATTCTATTCAAAATCTGATCTTATCTAGACTTAAAAGCCCAAATGTAACAGAAATCCCATATCTCAAATCTCACCTTCCAACGTGTTATTTTCATTTGTTCAAAAACTGCAGCTGTACTATACGCAATCTATTCTATGCTTCATTTTTGTTAGGTTTGTATTTCCCTTCCCCACAATGAAATTGACAGTCCAGATGGTTGCTCGAAGAGATATTTTAGGCAGTGGGAGTAAATATTTCTGGAACATGTAATACATTTTTTACATTTCCAACCTGTAATCATCTGTATGTTTTTTGTTTGCCATTAATTGCTAGGACTATCGTTCTTAGCTCAATAGAGGTAATTTAATATGTTTAACTTTCATTTTTTTTGGGTTTGCGGCAAAAGTAAAGTTAGAAGTAAAGTACTTCTTGTGGAATGTTGCCAGTTTATTTATTTTTAACTAATGAATTTATTTTTAAGGGAGTAAGTTATTATATAAATGAAGTCCACAAATTTCTTTCCTATATTTATACAAATCCCAGAATGTCTTCTGTGTAAATTCACACAAATCTCCTCAAATCCCATATTTATACAAATTTCAAAATGTCATACAATGTCTAAAATGAATGCACCCCCTTGGTTTCATATGATGCTAAAAAGAGTATTTTTTAGAAAAGAATATGTATTTTGTCAAACAAAGTGTAGAGTATATCAATTTATGCAAGACTTTATCAAGTGCAAGTGTTGTGATAATTTGAGAATTTGGGCATTAAGTGATTATTATTATTATATCAGCCTCGCTCGTTGCACCTCCATCGTCTCATTGCCCTTGTCCAAAAGTATTACCGGCTTCCACCCTTTACCATTGCGCTTCCTCCCTACATGCTAGTGACACTTTGTGCCCATGTACAACCACAGCCTATTGGCCGATTCACCCCATCCTGTCTTTAGCCCTTCCATAAGACTATAACAGACCCCCCGCATATGTGCATGTCGCTGTGTAGGTCCTGAACCACCCCCACCGTGTCCGGTATGTCTTGCTCTCGGTCCTCGGACAGCAACCCCCACACTAGAAATTGTCTCCCCCCGACTCCAACCAACCTCCACAATGACAAAACTTATCTGCATGGACTATCACTCCACACAATCACACATGAAATAGAAAGTTGGTATTTCAATATTTGAAATCTGTCCATAATATCTCACCTCCTTTATGGACTTGGGGTGCGAATTCAGGCGACTTTTAAGTGATTCCAACATCCACATTCATGCGGATTCACAAGTCCGCCCTCCACTCCCAACCAAATCGCTAGATCACCAACGTAAATGGAGCTCATAATGACGGTTGTGGATATCCTACAAGATTTTTGATATGGACTAAAATGAGTGGGGTGAGAAGTACTTCATAAGATAAACTGGTAGTAAAGAGATGCATGTCTTAGCAAACTTGAATTGGATGTGAATCATGTGAAGTTTCTATTCATTTTAAAAATTGTTTCCTTGGTGCTCTATTTTGGTAAAGTAAACTGAAGTAAATCCAGTGCAATAAAGTAAATCTAAATTTTAGTAGGTGTTTGGTTAGGAGCCTATAGACCAATTTTTGGACAACTTGACTAATATTTGTCTTTTGACCGGATCAATCAGCTAAAGAAAGTGTTTGGTTAAATTACATTTTCATTTGACTTTTTACTTCAAACAACCAAAATACAAAATGCCATGAAATGTAGCGTTTCCTTATGGCTTTTCCTTGTTTTTCCTTTACTACCCGCTCACTCCACGCCCTTACTATCCGTTTCTACATCCTCCTAGTCTCCCACACAAATCAAAGAGAAACCGCCCCACTATATTCAACTTTCCACCAAAGAGAAAAACAACCATGCAAGGGCCAGGAAGCAAGCATGGATTTAATAAAATATTCATATTGTTTTCTAACTTTTATTTCAATATAGCTTCAATTACTCTTGTTAGAGGGAAAGTCATCTGAAGAATGTTCGTGTTTTGTGTGTTAATTAAAATATACCATTTACCTTTTAATGCCAAAATAATAATACAGAGTAGTAGTAATAATAATATTCTTAATAATAATAAATATAATAATAATATTCTTAATAATGATGATGATAATAATAATAATAATAATAATAATAATAATAATAATAATAATAATAATAATAATAATAATAATAATAATTGAAACTGAAAAATAATTGATGCCCTTATTAAGTTTTTATTTTTTTAATTCATGAAAATGGTTTAAGTAGTGATACTAATAACATCAATAGTGTATGATACGCACATATATAAAAGTGTCTTGCGTGTATACATAAAAGTGCACGATAAAAAAAAATAATTGATGTTCTTAAAGGTCATTTGACAAATTATCAGCTGATTGTAAACAACCATTTTAACCAAACACCATTTTAAAAACTGCTAATAATATCAGCTAATCAAAACAGCCAACAGAAACTGCTATCATAAAACAGCCGACACAATCAGCCAACAGCCAACGACAACGGCCGATTGCCAAACACCCCCTTAATAAAAAGTAGGCTAACCTAAGTGAACCTAGGTTCATGCGTAAAATATTGTTTGGAAATAAATAAGGTGAACCTATGTTAATGTAATAAATGTTGTTTGGATAAAGATATTCTAGCTTATTTTATGTTATAAGAGAACTTTTTTAAAACAGATAACTTAATCATTGATAACACCAAGAACCAGATACAAATTTGCCAAAACGAAGGCTACACTGGGGTAAGACTCTGAGCTGGATACGCGCATAAAAGCGGACCATCTCGCTAACCCCACAACGTGATAGACTCCATACGCAGTAATGTTGCACCTGCTACGAAAAAGGGAAATAAAAGACAAACCAATGTTCTGAATTGGAAAAACAGGAAAATAACATAATCCAGTTTGACCAGCCACTGGCAAGGGAGTAGTGGTTGACCATCCCCCGCTAAAGGAACAATCTTCAAGGCCTTGCCGATTTCCGCTACTGGCGGTGCCGCCCAGGCAGCACTGCCATCTCCGAGTTTTTTGAAGACGCGTCGTCAACTTCCATGTTCACCTGAGTCCCCACCTCGTTATTAGTCTCAGTGGTCCGACGCTTTCTAGGTGCATCTCTAGTTGTATCAGTCTCCTTTCCCTTCGACAAAAGGCCCTCCACCAAATAACTATCCTTGCCCCTTATCTCCTTATCATCTTCCACAATTTTCCCCTACCTGTTGCCCTGTTTATTACTGCTAGGAATGAGCCATCTATTCCCCGGATGCATTCCTCCACGCCTCATATCAGCTCTCAGCCACGGCCCATACGGTTTTTCATCTATCCCCAGCCCGCAGTGTGGATTGGATGGGCAAAAACTCCAAACCTCCCCACTTCGGAGGTTCTTAATTTTTGTTTTTCCGGGTTCTCGAGAGTTATGTGAGGTTAACCCAAATTTATTAATAACTTAGGTTCTTGTTGCAAAAATACAAACAAACGGAATTAACTAAAAATTGAACCTGCAATAACCTAGGTTAACTCACCAAACAAACAAACGTAGATGCTCTTAATACGGAGTAACAAATATAATTGTGAGGTAAAATAGAGCATCTCTAAAAGAACTCCTTCATCCCAAATACAACTCTTAATTATTTTGTACTCTTTCACACTAAGGGGTGTTTGGAACTGATTCTGCTTCTGCTTCTTTTTTAAAGCAGAAGCAAAATCAGAACCAGTTTTGAGAAGCTGGTCTCCCCCAGCTTCTAAAAAAATGATTCTAGGAGTAAATTAGAGCACCAAAATCACTTCTACACTTTCACCCAAACACTCCAACTTCTGTTTCTGCTTCCTGAAAGAGCAGAAGCAGTTTTAAAATCAAATCCAAACACCCCTAAATCAGTTCACTTTTACTTGCACTTCTCGTCGCGATGTAAGTGTATAACATGTATTTTACTTTCTATATTTGGTAATTTTTATCACTTTTCCATGACAGGAAATATATTTTTTGTTAAAACTAAAGTATATATAGTACTCCCCCATATTTAAAAGTTCTCTACACTTTCCTTTTTGGGATGTATTTAAAAGTTCCCTACACTTGCCCTTTTTTGTTAAGTTTTTTCCTTTAAAAATACCTAGTTATCCTTACTTTTTCTAATTTTTATTCTCTCTTTCCTACTTTTTCACATTCTCTCCTACTTTTTCTATACTATTGATTACCTTTACTATTCTTTTTTAAATCTTGTGCCATAATCAAATGTAGTCATCTTTTAAATATGGAGGGAGTATTCCCTTCGTCCCGAAAAGAAGTTCTCGATTTGACCCACACACATATTTATGTAAGTAGAATTTTATTTTGACTTTCCAAGTATATGCTTACTTTATGTCAAATCAAACAAAAAATAGATAAAAAAAGGGAAAACTGTCAAATAGGTCCTCGAACTTTCATAAAAAAGTCAATTAAGTCCTTCTATAGGAGACTCTGTCCGGTCGTCGTGATTTGGGGTGGTTCCCGGTGGAATTTTTTGATGAAATTTTTTGAGCATCTTATTCATCAAGTCTAATTTACTCATACCAAATTTCAGCTAAAAATTCAATCGGGAGCGCATTCAAATTAATTCAAGAACGCAAAAATGCGCAGTTATTTTCAAGAATTAATTTGAATGTGTTCCCGATTGAATTTTTAGCTGAAATTTGGTATGAGTAAACTAGACTTGTTGAATAAGATTCTCAAAAAAATTCATCAAAAAATTCCACCGGGAACTGCCCCAAATCACGATGTTCGGACAGAACCTCCTATAGAAGGACTTAATTGACCTTTTTATGAAAGTTCGAGGACCTATTTGACTGTTTTCCCATAAAAAAATAAAGGTAATGATGACTTTTGGGTTAAAAATTGTTTCCTTTTATAGAAATAGATTTTTTTGGAACTGATTTTTAGGAAGAAGTATTATGTATTTTTATCACTTTTTCATCATTGTGATCCCAACTTTAATGGACTAATTTTAAGTTCTCAAGAATCTACTCCAAACCTTTCGGTCGCAACAAAGCTCCGGAACCATCGGGGGTGTAAATTTAGTTCTGTTTCTGCATCTATTTTAAAAGTAGAAGTAGAATTAGAATCATTTTTTGAGAAACCTATCTCCTCCGGTTTCTATAACTGATTTTAGGAGCAATTTTGAGCTTTAATAATGGGAGTGTTTGCAATTGCTTCTGCTTAAAAAAAGCACTTTTGGAGATGTAAAGAAAAAGTGATTAGTAGTAAAAGTTTGAGAAAAGTTTGCAATTGCAATTGCTTAATAGTGTTTGAGAAAAAAGTGATTTTGAAAAATAAAAGTTGGTAGTGTAAAAAATAAGTGTTTTTGTGTAATAGAAAAGGGAAAAACATTTTTCACATGCAAGTTGAAAAAAGTAAAAATAGGTAGTGTTTAGTAAATAAGTGTCTTTTAAGCCAAAAAAATGAGAAATGCCTTTTTTAAGTTGTGTCAAACACTCCCTAAGTACTTCTTCACTCCCATCTAAGCAGTACAATATTTTAAAAAGCGGAAAAAAGGTGCAAATAGACCCATGTACTAACAAAAAAAGGTCAAATAAGCCCTTATTTAGGAGGCTCTATCCGGTCGCCGCCATTTGGGGTGGTTCCCGGCGGAATTTTTGATGAATTTTTTTGAGCATTTTATTCATCAAGTCTAGTTTACTCGTACCAAATTTCAGCTAAAACTTCGCAGTTATTTTCAAGAATTTATTTGAATGTCTTCCCGATTGAAGTTTTAGCTGAAATTTGATATGAGTAAACTAGACTTGATGAATAAGATGATTAATAAATTCCATCAAAAAATTCCACCGGGAACCACCCTTAATGACGACGGCCGGACAGAACCTTTTAAATAAGGACTTATTTGACCTTTTTTATTAGTACATGGACTTATTTGCACCTTTTCGCTTAAAAAGTAGATCCAAAATTCATGTGAGTATAGCCAATGTGCCACACAAACCAATGTTGAAACGACGCCGTTTGTAGTCACACGAGCAGACTGGCAGAGGATCCTTATCCAAAGGCTGAACATTAGCAGAACTGAATCCCAAACTGCTGACACCGGCAGTAATCTACGAATGGCGGATGCGAATCTAACTGAAAGAGTTCAATCATTAGCTCAAAAAGGTGAAGCCTTTGTGCCGCCGGTATACGTTCAGCCACCCTGTAACAGGCCTCGAGCCAACGCCGATGACTCCGTGCATCCAGTGCCGACGATCAACCTTAGCTCACCGACTGAGCTCCTCCTAGGCGAAGTCCGGCAGGTTTGCAAAGAATGGGGAGCCTTTCACGTTGTAAACCATGGAGTCTCTGTCGAATTGCTTCATGATGCTAGGCGCGTCGCTCGTTCTTTCTTCCAGGACTATCCCATGCAAGAGAAGATGAGGTACTCCTGCGATCCCAAATTTCCTGCTTCTGAGGGCTATGGCAGCCGAATGTTGGTTACCCCTAGCGACACCGTTTTGGACTGGCGGGATTACTTTGATCACCACACGTTTCCTCTATCTCGCCGCAATCCATCTCGCTGGCCCCACTTTCCTTCCGATTACAGGTATGATTTCTAAAAAATTTGGCCATTCAGAGACTGACCTAATAACTGCAAATCATATCGTTCATTGCTGAAAAAGCACATGAAATTACCTGAAATTTGAATTTCTTATTGTAATTGTTGGGAGAATTGATAGAGGGACTAATTTTGATAGCTACGGTTTTATTCATAGGCGCCTTATTCCTCTGCTTAAAAGTAGGGTATCCCTATTCTTGGATTCAATGCGTTTTGAAATGTTTTTCAACAATCACATAAGAACTTGTTTTGGAATAAATCACCTGCCTAACAATTATAAGTTTTATCAGAGGAGTTGTTGAACAGTATGCGGATTGTATGAAAGTCCTAGCTGAGAGACTTCTGGAGTTGATCTCCAAGAGTCTAGGCCTGCCTTGTTCTTGCGTCAAAGATGCAGTTGGGGAATTGCATCAAAACATTACTTTCAGTTACTACCCTCCCTGCCCACAACCGGAGCTTACTCTTGGTTTGCAATCACACTCAGATATGGGCGCCATTACTCTTCTCATCCAAGATGATGTTGCTGGGCTTCAAGTTCTTAGGGATAGAAATTGGATAACTGTAAATCCACTGTCTGATGCTATACTTGTGATCTTGGCTGACCAAACTGAGGTATTTCAACTCACTGCAGACTAATTTTCTTATAATAATAATTATTATGTTTTTTTGGAACTCTAGCTTCTTTCTTTACTTTTTTTATTTTTTTATTTTTGTGCTTAAGGAAGTTCCACATTGTATTTTGCTGAGCTGAATGTAATTTCTTATCTTAGTTGTCTCCCTGATGTTTTACTGGAGAAACTATGGTGGAAGGAGCTTAAGCATTAGTGACAAAGCTTCATAGGAATTGTTGGACTGTTGAGAAAAAACACTTCATGCATTTCTCCTAATATATATCAGTGTAAAAAGTGTTCATGTGTAATGTTCATTGGCAGTCAATAACTATGATACATCTTATTTATGGCAAGTTAAAAGGTTCAGAAGTGTTCCAATGTTCCAATATCCGGCCTTGTTTCGATTTAAGGTTTTACCTCTCATCTGTCATTTGGGCATAAGGACTCAAAGTCAGGTTGTCATTTTGCGTAATAAAAAATTCAGAATATTTGGAGAAAAAGCACTATTCAACCTTTCAAACCTTTATTATATATTTGAGTTCTGTATGACCAATTGGACACATACATTGGTATGTCCATAACAATTTCACCCATGCTTGTCACGGCGGTAAGTCGAGTCGTGGCGCCAGCTTACCGCCATATTGCCTAGGCGACAAGGCGCCCGCCTAGGCGACAATTAGGCGACTAGTCGCCTACATTTGTATATTATATTATATATTATGTATATAATTATATGTTTACATATATAATTATATATTTAATTATATATTATGTATAATATATTACTAACTAAAATGTATATAACTTATAATTGAAATCCACAATTAGTAATTAAAAACAAGGTTTATTAATGGGGATTAAGAGTTTATTATTAAACTAATATATACGAGCATATTAGTATTCTGTATATCACCAGTAGAATAAATTAATGGTTTAATGTCTATATCACCATGTTACACTGTATTTAATAAATTAATTGTTTTATACTTTTATAGTATCTATATAATTACCATTAAAAAAAGTATCTATATAATTAATACTGTACTCATATATTGATAAATTTGATATACATATATAATTATATATACCACTTAAATAGTAAAAATATTAAAAAAATAAATCCACTACACCCCTAGAGAATAAAAGATAAGACTAGATAAGAAATCGGTGGACTCAACTGGACTGTCTCGTCGTATGCTTCAAGCATCAACGACGGACAGGGTGATGACGGTTGGCTTGGCCGGCGACTTCTTCTGCCTTCTGAAGTTGGTTCGTCGCTTCTCTGTGAGTTGTTCTCTGCGTCGGGCTTTATATTTAATTAGAAGGCCACCATCTTAAATTCTTAATTAAATAGGTTTCCTAAAAAAATTAAACCTTAATCTAAATCCTTAATCTACTCTGGGCCTGCGTACAACTTCTCGACTGGGCTAAAATAGGCGGTGATAAATCGCCAAGTTCACGCCAGGACGACGCCTTGGCGACGCCAAACGCGACTGGTCATCTCTCGGCGAGGCGAGCTTACCTGGCGAGCAGTCCCCAGCGCCTGGACGCCTAGTCGGCGACTAGGCGACGCCTAGGCGACGCCGTGACAACCATGATTTCACCACAATTGAGCGTGTGCTTTCTCTTTGTCCTATTGTTAAATAATTTTAGATGCATACTCTAGTAATTTTTTACTAGAACTAGATTTCGAGCTAACTGGTACTTGGCAATGGTTGCTGCAATAATGCACCATTGATCATCAATATTTTGCTTAATTTTTTCGCAAGGGCAATTTTGCTGAAGTTGCTGCTGGTCCTAATGAAGTTGCTGAAGTTTATGAATTATGATATAAACATTTAGAACATATTTTTAATGAATAAAATAAAGAAAACCATATATTTGAAAATTCATAGTTACCATAGTGTATGGTTATGAGCCGGTTTGCCGTGCAGCCCATGGCAACGGTGCATTTATGGCATCGCCACATGACTTGAAAAGTAACAAGTAGTCAAGTACTAATAGTCTAATACTTCGTATGAAGTATAGACTATAGACAATATGTATTTATATGATTCAACCTCCAATAAGTGAGGAAAAGAATCAATTTACCAAATTCTAGCCTAAACACAACTAGGCAAATTCTCAATTAGTGCCAAGACTAACATAATAACAAAAATCATTTAGTCAATAATGGAAACATAAAGTCCAAATCCTCGAAAAGTCTTCCTAGGTCGTTCTTTACCAAAGGAGAAACAGTGCAGGCCTGATTGAAGCTCAAAGGAAACATTTAACGCACAGTTAAACTAAAAACTGAAAATGAAGGCATACCTTGACTTTGACTTGGGTGTTGTTAACAACGGAGGCGCAAGAAAAGTTTCCAGTGAGCCGTGCAGGTTGAAGTTATGACGTCTATCGAGTGTCACACTGCTATGGGCCAATGGTTCTTTGTCAGTTTCACAGTGTCACTAGTTTCTGCCTTCGCGTATTAAGCATTACTTTACTAATGGGCTTGTCAGATCATGCACCAAATGAAGTAATTATGGGGATGGTGTGGCGCTAAAATGTCACAACCACAGTTCATTTTATTGCCAAGCCTATTCTTTGTGGTCATGCCTTTCCAAACGTCAAAAGTGGTATATGACGAATGCTGTTTGCCATTTGCAGCAGTGCACCACTGTAGCCCTAGAGAAAATTGCTAAGATGATCGTGTTCAGCAACTTTAGTCAATGTACCTCGCCCTACTTTTTCCATTATTAACCAATGCAGCATGCACAGCAATAAATTAGTGCATGATAAAAAAAATGACTGATTAAGCTTATGAGCCAAAAAAAGTCGGTACCAAACGGTCACTTCTTTTACTATGTGATCTTGGGAAAGGGGTGGATTTTGTTACAGGGCTTCCATTGTAATCTCCAATTAGCACAAGAATATGAAAGGAGCCCTGTAGTTGAGTTATTTTATGTTGAGTAAGCATGACTGCATGACTCAGTACATTTGGAAAACTTAAACCACTACCTGTCTACCTCTATTGTTTTTAATAAATTTCAATTTAGTCTGAATTTGTATGAAAATTTTAAAGTTGATCCTTTCTCAACTGTTATTTAGAGAACAATGTTGACTGCACATTTGACGTTACAGATCATAACCAATGGAGAGTACAGAAGTTCTATACACCGTGCTGTAACAAATGCTGAACGACCCCGGTTTTCAATCGCAACATTCCATGACCCTGCAAAGACGAGAAAGGTTTCCCCTGCATTTCATCCACCGAAATACCGGGAAGTGATGTATGGCGACTATGTGTCATCGTGGTACACAAAGGGTCCAGACGGAAAGCGGAATCTTGATGCCCTTGTTCTTTAACTGGTAAATGTTTATCTTCTTATTAACTTCCAAAATCTCAACCCTGCAGTGAAAGGCCTGTCAGTAAGCAAAGAACAATGTTAGCAAATTCATTGTCATGTTACATGACAACTTGAAGTGGATTAAGTTAGGATACGTTTCCTTGTTCATAGATGTGTTTATTTGCTTATTATGAGTGCCTCTATGTCTATATCTGGAAAATTATACATTGTAAACTTGTATGGAGTATCAGTTAAAGTTGGTATTTGGCTCTTCATTATTTACATATGCCTTTTAAAAGCTCTGGAAGGGAAGGAGTATTTAAATACACTTTACAAAAGTATCTACGACTAAAAAGTTCCTAAAAAAATGACACCCTTGTCACTTCCTAAATTATTGCTCAATTTGACTGGGTGCAAAGTTTAAGAAAGTGGAAACCGCGTGGTTGGGATTCTCTTAGAGAGGAGAGGTATTGTGAACAAAATATTGCTTTCCTTAAAATGGAGAGATAAATTATGTATATAATTTAGGGACAGAGAGATAAAATGTATACTACCTCCATGCTAAAATAATTTTCTCATTTCCTTTTTATCAGTGCCAAATTAATCTTCCTATTTCATTTTAAGAAAAAAAGGTGTGGTTACTATTGCTTCATTCGTTTCTACCCAAAGCTCAATCACACACATCATTTTCAATACCATATCCCTTGTGTCAAGTCAAAACCACGATATTATTTCAGGACAAAGGAATTGAGTATAGAGTTAATAATTTGAACCCCAAAGATAAAGCTCTCCTACCTTGCCCTTACGGTGTATCCCAAAGATACACTCTGGTATGTTAACATGCACAATTCTGCTCAGTGCTCACAACAACAACAATAGTCCCAAATGATATTGGGGTCGGCTAACATGAATCAATACATGATATCACCAAAAGGAAAAGAAAGAAAATAAAGATAAAAAATATAAGCTATTATAAAAAAAGATAATATAAAAGAGATGAATATACATAATACATATAAAAGATAAAATAAAAAAGGATAAAGTAATATTTATATATAAGGATAAAAATATAAAAGAAAAAGAAAAAAAAGAAGAAAAAAGAGGGGAAAGATGATACAAAATCACTCCTCCACACGAATACCCGCCCTCCATTTTGCTCTCTCCAAAGTCATACTCTCATCCAATCCAAGAAGAAGCATATCACTTCTGACTCCCCTAACCCACGTTTGTTTGGGCTTCCTCTCCCTCTCTTCCCTGCATCTTCTCTACACATTTCAACTCGTCTGACAGGTGCATCACTCGGTCTTCTATGCACATGACCAAACCACCGTAGGCGCGACTCCCGCATCTTATCTTCAATAGGTGCTACTCCCACCCTTTGTCTGATTGTCTCATTTCTCACGCGGTCCTTTCTAGTATGTCCACACATCCAACGCAGCATACGCATCTCTGCCACACTCATCTTTTGAATGTGACATTGTTTCACCGTCCACAATAGGTTTAATTGAAGTGGGGTCTACATACTGCTATTAGATGTAAGGTGTTCACAAGAAATTCTATTATGAAACATTCAGCATGAAGCCCAAGTTGATTTAGTGCCCTTTGCAAGGTACGTGTGTGGCTTGGCAAATATGGGTGGAGCACTAAACTACCCTTGATGGCTTCTTGTATTGAATCAATCAATTACGTAATATTGGCAAAACATACCATACATGTGGATTTAAAATTACACCCAAGAAATTTGTATTTTTTGTAACATTTGCTCATTTTGTAATTAAAGAATATAGAATGATTGTTCTCTTATAATTATACTACCTCCGTCCCTTTTTAACTTGTCAAACACAAATTTTCAAGTCAAAGTTGTTCAACTTTGATCGATTACGCAGTCTTATCCATGTACTAAAGCATGTACAATTGTTTCTGGATGAATTATAGTGAAAATCGTGTCGAAAGTTGCATGGACTAACTTTTGCTTCACAACAAAGAAACACAAACAGTTTAGTGAACCAGTTTGCTTTATTCCATCATATTCCCAAGCCAAAAAATAGTGAGTCTTTGGCTCCATTGCAAATGATGGAAAGCCAACAAATCTTGCACGACGATCAAAATTTCATGTGTAGAGTTCACCCTACAGCAATATCATGGACAAAAGGTGAAGTAGACTTTACGCATAGAATTATGGCTGATACATATGTTTTTTGGCCAGAAATTTGAATAATATTGTGAAGAAACAATTATGTTTAATTATGATATTAATTTGATTCATTAAAAAGTTAGTACCAAAATGCAACAATAGGAGGAAGAAGAGAACATTCCACACGAGAAGAAGAATAGGAGGAAGAAGAGATGTCCAGATTTGAAGGTGAAGACAACGAAGGCAAGTGTGGTGGGTGAGCAGTGACAGCAGTAGCGAAGATGACCATAGGGATGAGAGACGATTGTCGAACATGTTGTGAATGGAAGAGATGACAAAGGTGATGAATGTCGGTGTTGAGGAGATAAGAGTTTTGTGTTATAGGTTGTAGGTTTGAGGTGGACGCATTGTTAAGACTTAAGAGGTAGCAAAACCAAGACTTGGAAAGCTTGAAGAGATAAGAGTTTTGTGTTATATTTATATGACTAGCGTTTGGTTGTCAACAACTTTTGTCCAATATTAAAGTAATGTTTTTTTGTAAATAATTAATTTTTTATGCATGAAAATGTGTTGCAGTTATTAAGAAAAATGGGTTTATGTTGTTAATATTAAATAAATTGATAATGTAAATATGATTTAGAAGACCACGCGATTGTACCAAATTTGGGATGAGACAATCTTAGCATGACAAATGGAGTATTATACGTAGTATATGATATTGTTATGAGATTCTCTTTAATAGTGTATAAAAGTTTCCAATATTTTTTAAAAATTGTCAGATAATATATATTTTTCATAAGTCAGTTATTGTTCACATATGTGCTTATACTTTATAAAACTATGTGATTTAATGAGTTGAATATATTTTTCATTTTGTATATGGAAGAGGCAACATGAGTATCATCCATGACACCTAGACCTTTCAAAAACATTTTTGTACCATTATAAAAATATCTAAACCAAAAAAATGATGAAATATACTACGTAATAATTTTAATCATCATACCTCAAATTAAGGATATCCTTTTAATTCATTAAACTTTTTTAACATTAGAAAGGGTTTATATTAAACTTTCTTAACATTATCTCAAACTTAAAAAAGTTAAAATTCTTCTTCACATGTCTGTTAATTATTCTTAAGCCATTTCGGATGGATTTCCTATTCACAATGTATTGAATGAGGAAATTAAAGCATATGCATCAGCTTCGGTATGAAGAAATATTTTAGTATTACAAAGAGCAGATTTTAACTTTTTCATTTAGCATGCTAAAATTGCTAACTTAACAATCATGTATGAGGCCGGTTATAATTTTTAAAATACTTCTATTAACTTTCATGGTTAGTATAGTAAGGGTAAAGAAGTCACATGAGAAAGTAGGTTCCATCTCTTAAGAATAATGTACAACTTATGATGCACAAAGTGTATGACATAAATTAAGGGTATCAACCATCATCCACAATTATAATGTTGTTAGATGAGGGTATTTCAGTTCATCCCTTTATAATTGATCTCCTTTTTGTTCAAATTTAAACTTAATCATATTTTTGTCCATTCAAAAGCCGTTAGTCTTATTTTTGACATTCTTTCATGATATGATAAGAGGACTGAAGTGTTATATTTAGAGTAAGGGGGTGTTTGGAACTGATTCTGCTTCTGCTTCTTTTTTAAAAACAGAATCAGAATCAGTTTTCAGAAGCTGGTGTCTCTCAGCTTCTCAAAAAACTGATTCTGAGAGTAAATTAGAGCTCCAGAAGTGCTTCTGGAATTTCACCCAAACACTCCAGCTTCTGTTTCCGCTGCCTGAAGGAGCAGAATCAATTTTGAGAATCATATCCGAACACCCCTAATATGGGAGTTTACTTGACAGTTTTTTTTTTCAAACAATCATTTATTTGACCTGCCGCTTCTTTGGACGGGGTGCGGCAACATAGGCCCGTTGTAATCTTTACTTCAAATAGAATAGTCCTTTTAAATTTTTATTCTTTGGCCAATAAGCCCAATACAATAAACCAATATAATAAAGATGTTTGAAATTCTAAAGATGTTAGGGTTGTAATTATGTGAGATCAAGCGATAAAACCAAATTTGACCGTATAGAATTAGACAATAATTTAGATCATACCGAGTATGTAGTATTAAACTTAGATAATATTAAAATGCATATAGTATTAGTTCAGATAAATCTAAAATTAACTAGATCAAAAAATTCTAGACAAATTTTTAACCAAATGTGACGAGTTCAAATCAAATATGACTAATGAAATTAGTTTGGACTAGGGGTAGGCTTGTCCGGGTAAGTTTGGGTAATAGATAAATTTCTCAAAATCGCCAATTCCATTAATCGAGTAGATTCCGTTCAAGTATACTAAGTTTCAAAATAGAAATAAGGCTTTAACCGCCTTGATCGAAATGAGTTGATTCTGTTCGAACTCTAGTAATAATACTCTCAAACTAAATAAATATCAATGTCACTGTAATATAGTAAAGAGAAAAGATGCAAATAAGCCCTCAAACTATTTGCAATTCTGCAATCAGACCCCTAAACTTGAAGAATTGCAGATACACCTCTCAACTCATTGAAAATGATGCAATGAGATCCTTTTTTACCTGTTGGTGAGGGGTAAGAAGATGAAATATTACCAGCACCAACAGGTAAAAAAGACCTGATTGCATCATTTTCAATGAGTTAAGGGGTGTATATGCAATTCATCAAGTTCATGGGCCTGATTGCAGAATTGTAAATATTTCGAGGGCTTATTTGCCTCTTTTCTCTATAGTAAATGTTAAAACAAATATTTAAAACAAAAAATATAATTAGTTAACAAGATGCCCTACAACAAATCTATAAAGTAAATAAGTCACAGTTGCGCAAATTAAATAGCACCACATTTAGACATCATTGTTCAGAAACTAAAAAAGTAGCATCATAAAATCGTAATAAACTAAACTTGCCACTATATATCAGTGTAAGTGAATAATGTAAATCTTAATAAATCTGTAGAATTAAGATAATTAATGAATATGTCACACTTTATTGAGCAAGTGTCTTTGTTTAATAAAATGAAAAAATGACACAAATATTATTTCTAACCTTTTGAAAAATAAAAAGAGACTAGTTTGCCTTAAAAAAATGACTCATCTTTCGTC